GCTTTGCCGAGCTGTGGTGGGCTCTGCCTACTTCGAACTTCCCAGTGGCTTTGTTTACACCGTGAGGGGAAAACTGCCTATTCAAGCCTCAGTAATGGCGGATGCTCCTCCCCTCACCAAGCTCGAGCGTCCCAGGTTGACTTCAGACTGCTGTGCTGGCAGCAAGAATTTTAAGCCAGTCGATCTTAGCTTGCTGGGCTCTGTGGGGATGGGATCTGCTGAGCTAGACCACTTGTCTCCCTGGCTTCAGCCCCCTTTCCAGGAGAGTGAAAGGTTCTGTCTTGCTGGCATTCCAGGCACCACTGGGGTATGAAAAAAAAACTCCTGCAGCTAGCTCCGAGTCTGCCCAAACGGCCACCCAGTTTTGTGCTTGAAACCAGGGCCCTGGGGGTGTAGGCACCTGAGAGAATCTCCTGGTCTGCAGGTTGCGAAGACTATGGGAAAAGCAGAGTGTCTGTGCCGGAATGCACCATTCCTCACTGTACAGTCTCTGATGGCTTCCCTGACCCCTTGTGCTTCAGCCCCACCTTGTTTCAGCTCCTCTTCTGTGGGCTGCACCCACTGTCTAACCAGTTCCAGTGAGATGAGCTGGGTACCTCGGGTGGAAATGCAGAAATCACCCACCTTCTGTGTTGATCTCACTGGCAGCTGCAGACCAGGGCTGTTCCTATTTGGCCATCTTGCCAGCCACCATATAATATTATTCTTAAAGTCCTAGCCTACTGACAAATAGCTGGATCATCTGTGGGCATGCCTTGTTTGCTTTTCCTCCTGATTCTTAGTCTTATTTTCCTGCTTCTTTGAACTGTACATGCACACGCACACACAGGTATAAAGTTTAGTGTGCTGAACATTGTGTATACAAGGTGCATAGTGTCTGGGTTGGTATTCTTTATTCCCCAGAGAAAAAGAATCTATCCTCTGTAAGTTATATTAGGTGAGGGGAAAATCACCTCAAACCAATCAAGAATTGAGTGGGGGAATCGAGAGGCTCTGGTGAGGAGTAGGTGCCATGTGCAGGTGGTGAGTGAGGAGGGAGAAGGGAGGGAAAGAGAGGAGAGCGAAGAAAAAAAAAAAAAATTGAGCTGGGTCAGGGCTAGTTTGCCATTTTACTTAGATTCAGTCCACCTCTGCTCTGAAATCTCTTGAGAGTGATACCTTTTAGTTTCAGGGCCTACACGTACAGAATGAAGTATTCCAGGTGTATCCATGTCTCTCTTCTCTATTGACACTCAGTCCCTAGGTTATGTCATTTAGGTTTTCATGGCTTTAAATTCAGTTCTGGGCTGTTGATTCCCAGATCTGAATCTCCAGCCTTGACCTTTCCTAGCAGGAAACAAAGGACACATTCAAACAGGATACCTGGAGAAAATTTAACAAAGGCAATATATAAAAAGGTGTGGGCAGGATCAAGGAAAACCAACAGGAATGGTAACATTCCCTGGGGCTATCAACAGATGGGAACTGTTCCA